TTTCAGATTATCAAATTAACCAGTCATTTGTTGTGTGTACTTCGGCCAGTGCTAAGCTTCTAACTTAAAGCTAACTGTAAGTTGGAAAAAGGAACCCCTTACTGGTGATCTGTGTTAATTAACTGTTAGGAATGGTTTTGACTCTAGCACCATTTATTTTGTTAAATTTGGATGTGAATATTGAATATATTTTAGTTAAGGTTATGCCCGGGAGCTTGATTTGTTTCCCACTGTGTTTACAAATGAAGCTATGATAAAATATATTTGTATTTGCAGTTTTGGCAAGGGGGAAAATAAAATCAAGGTAGTGGATGTCTAAGAGCCTAAGTAAGTAAGTAAGGTCCCTATTTACCGATCTACTGCCATCTGTTCGCTTTGAATCCCAACCAAATAAAAGTGTAAAAAATCAAAAACGAATAATAGATTAATAATATCAAATTTGATCATCAAATTAACTACAGTCATCTGTTATATTTACTCAGGCTACGGTTAAGCAAACTTAAAATAAAGCTGTAAGTTGGAAGAAGGAGCTACTCTGTGCTAATTAGTATTAGAAAATAAGCTACATTTTTAAAATTTAAATTGGAATAAGGATGATATTTTATTAAGGCTATGTCCAGTATCTTGCTTAGTTATCCACCACATTTATAAACAAATCTATGATTAAAATGTATTTGCTTGTTCAATAAGGAAACATTAAAGCTGGTAGCGGTGTACCACACCCATTAGTGTAGTCTCTTCTTCTTCTGAGCTATTTTTTGTAAATGTTTAATTTGATAAGAATAAAGAAGATACTTTAGGTGAGCTTATGTCCAGTAGCTTTCTTAGTTATTCACTTTACCTATAGACAAAGCTATTAAAAAAAATAAGGTTTCCATTTGCAAGTTTAAAGAGTTGATAAACAATGTACCATGTGTAACAGCCTGATTACAACACATGTATGGTCCCAAACTGCTCATTTATTGTCATCTCCTCTGCAGATCACACCGCAAATGAACAAAAACCTCCAAAGAATTAATTGTGGTCATCAATTAGGTTTATTACATCTGAATGGAAGTGGAAAGTAGAAACTTCATTCTTGTATTCTTGTTAGTTATACCCAAAGTAATTTTGTGATTTACATATAAAAAAATCTTACAATGGAGTGAAGGTTTTGTCGAGTAACTGTTGTAGTCTTCACTGTATAAGCAGGGTTTACGACTACAAACACGTTTGGTATGCATGCCAAAAAGTGGATGTCTGCCAGAAAGTTATTGCCAATGTTTCTGTTGGTTATTCATGCCTAATACCTTTACTGATATAGGTAAATAGACTGTAATCGACAGGATTTATGAAAGCTTTACTTATAAAATGAAGAAATTACCTGTTTAGCAAGTATATTTAATACAGAGTTATTGTACCTTCTATTGTTCTACATTATAATCAATCCAGTCCTTTTTGGCTACTTTACATACCTTTTTAGAACTGCTATTTTATAACTTTGTGGCGCCCTCTTGGACAGATCTCTTTTGAAAAATTGATTTTTAATGTAATTGACATTTTATATTTGGATAAATAAGGCATATGAAATAGTTACTTTGCCAAAAACCTACATTTTGATAGGAATGTTCTTTCTGGCTCAGAATGACTCATTATAATTCATGAGACATATGTTGGACAAATTATAGGCCAACAAATCATTTACAGCACTTTAAATACTCACAATCTTAAAAAAAAAAAAATACTAGAAATCACCTTTTGGCATGTCACCGTTTTAATGAGACAATTTCAAGGTGGTGGATGTGTAACTGCCTAATTAGGGCAAGTGTGATGGATTGTCTGTTCAAGTGTGTTATTGTGTAGCTACGTTAATTGCTTTCAATTTGACAGGCAGTAAAGTGGGAGACCACAACCACAGAGCTGTCATGCGTGACTGTTAATCCACGCTGTCAGTAAAAAACAGCCAGACAGGCTACATCATTATATCCAGGTGCTGATTTCCCACCTCCTGCTATCAGTGTAGTTATTTAAGTCTCTCATCTCATTCTTGTTAGAGGAGGTTAAACAAATCTCCTAAGCACCGCAGGCTCTTCTCTGCTTTGTCCCAAAGAGAGCACCAGCAGCTCTGCTTGCCTTTTGGTTGGTGGCAGAGCAGGAACATGTGGTCATGCAACGGCCAATGCCGAGCCCTGAGAAGGCAATCGGTGCTGTCAGAGCAGCAGCAGCAGCAGCAGCAGTGCTGGCACTGGAAAGGAACTCTGCAGAAAGAAACCCATCTAAAAGAGACAGGGGAGGGGGGGTGGATTTGATTACAGACCGGAGGATGAGGATGCAGTGGGAATGGCATGTTGTAGAGGAAGAAAGAAGAAAACAAACAAGAGGACAGGCTGTTTGATCAAGGTCTAAAGATGTAGGAGCTGCATCCGAGGAAGCAGGCAGTCAGTGCGTCTGTGAACGCACCATCACATCAGGGGACTTGTTGTGGTTCAAGGATAGTGAAGGTGGAGAGGCGCAACCTGAGAAGTCCCCTCCCGCCACTTCCACAGAGGATGACAGATTAATCCTTATTCAGCAAGGAGCGAAGAATCAACCCGAGGTGAGTGAAGTGCAAAGTCATACTGTTTCCATCTGATCTGAGCAGGTTGTTCACACTTAATCCATGTCTACTTTCGCTCTTGTTTTGGTCCAATATGTAAATGAGTTGTGTGTGCAACCCTCTCTCTGGTGAATTCCTCACGTTTCACCACACGTTACACTAAACTCTGTCTGTGTTCAATCAGCATGCTGCTCCAGTCCCAGCTGACCTGTCTGTGATGAAGTGAGGCTTGTTGTCTCTTGATGTGATGTTGTTATCCAGGATCAGATGTTGTCCACGGCTCAGCAGATGCTTCAGGATAGCCGCTCTAAGATTGAGCTGATCCGACTGCAGATTATCAAAGTCGCCCAAGCTGGCAGCAGCAGCAGCAGCAGCAGTAGTGGTGTTGATGGTGGTGGAAACCCTAACAGCTCCACTCATGGAGGTCAGAGTGCTGGGACAAGTGAGTCCCCCTATAATACTCTGTTCTTCTACTTTATTTAAGTGTGCAAATTACCCTGAAAGAGGCGTGAAATCATCTATTATATTGCCCGTGGCCAGTCACAATAACTCTGTCAGATTTTCAAATAACTTGTCTCGTTAACCCAGAAGAAGCAACCGAGTTTCCAGTGCATGCAGATATGTGGTTTGAAAATTTAGCGCTTTAATGAAGGTTTTGCCAGAGCTTCCATTTTTTGAAAGGGGATTATCTGTTTGATTAAGGTTTTCCAACAACAGATCACAATTCAAAAGCTTTTCTTGTAAGTGAAAAAGTATGAGTTTTTGATCCAGAGATACTGTGATGTGAGTACATTTCCTGCCAACAGTCTCCTGTCCCAGTTATGATGA